CCACACATTCGATGCTAAAACACCATTAAAGGACTGGAGAGATGGCTCAGAGGTTAAGAGCACTGACTGCTCTTCCAGAGGTCCTGAGTTCAATTCCCAGCAACCACATGGTGGCTCACAGCCATCTGTAATGAGATCTGGTGCCCTCTTCTGGCCAGCAAGCATACAGACAGACAGAACACTGTATATATAATAAATAAATATATCTTAAACAAAACAAAACACCATTAAAACATGCATGCTGAGGCCGGTGGTGGTGGCGCAGGCCTTTAACCCTAGCACTAGGGAAACAGAGGCAGGTGGATCTCTGTGAGTTCGAGACCAGCCTGGTCTACAAGAGCTAGTTCCAGGACACAAGTTCCAAAGCTACAGAGAAACCCTTCTCGAAAACCCAAAGCCCAACCAACCAAACAAACATACATGCTGAGGCCAGGTGTGGTGGAGCACACCTTTAAACTCCAGTACGAGGCAGGTACATCTCTCTGAGTTCTGAGTTCGAGGCTATTCTGATCTATATAGGAAAACCAGGCTGGCCAGGACTACACAGTGAGACACTGTCTGGGTTCAGAGAGATTCTAAACCTCCTGTCAATTTATAGTCACCACAAATTTGTGAGTTAAAAAGCCAGAAAGGAGGGGTTGGAGAGATGGCTCAGCAGTTAAGGGCATTGCCTGCTCTTCCAGAGGTCCTGAGTTTAATTCCCAGCAACCACATGGTGGCTCACAACCATCTGTAATGAGATCTGGTGCCCTCTTCTGGCCTGCAGGCAGGATACTGTATAAATAAATAAATAAATAAATAAATAAATAAATACATCTTTTAAAAAAGAAGTCAAAAAGAAATACAGGAAAACAATTCCCATCAAGTTAGGTTAAGTCAGATGTAGGTGTTGCACGCTTGTAATTTCAACACTCAAGACTGAGGCAGGAGGATTTTGAGTTTGAGGCAAGTCTGGGCTGCAGAGGCAGACCCCCCCCCCTCCAGCTCAAACAACAAAACAAAACAAATAACCAAAAAAAATAGATAAAACACTACCTTTCGCCCACCATAGAGGAAAAGTTCGCAGTAGCCTATGCATTAATTATATGACTATAATTACTGGCAAACTGACTATAATTACTGGCAAACTGTCTATGCATTTACATGATGCTTTAGAATAAAAAGTTTCCAGACACAAGGAATCACATTCCCCTCCCCCAAAAAACAATCGTCTTAAAACTTTGGGATTCCCAAATATTCACTGGAAGCCAACCAATCTCGAAAGTTGAAACCATCAGCTGCAGCCCAGACTCACCTGGAAGGTCTCTTTCGCCCCCTAGAGCCAGCCCATCCTTAGTCCACTGCACGAGCCCCCGGTATGCTCCCAGAGCGCAAGGCAGCCGGGCTTCCTCCCCCAGCAACACCACCATGTCCTCTGGCTGTTGGAGAAAATGGGGCAGTGGGCCTAGGAGAAGAGGGACAGAAGAGCTGAGATTAAGTCAAGAATTCCCTTATGCAAGACCCGGGAGGTCCAGTCCATAGCCCTCCTTCCTCAGATCAGAAGCTCTCGCCTCCAAAATTCTCTCTCACACCCAGGATTAGGAGTCAGTCCTTAGTCTATTTTTCACAAGCAAGGCGGGAACGGACAAATAACCCTCCTTGCGCCCTTCGAGGGTACCTGCAAGTCCTCTGAAGCTGCAGAGGAGGACGAGGAGGGCGGGGCCCAGCATCCCGTGTGTGTTTGTGCGTGCACCCCAAGATCCCGTAGACTTTGGGTTGCACTGATTCCTCTCCAACTTCTTCCTTGACAGCACGCCTCTCACCACGCTGGACTGGAACCCCTCTCTGTACCCCACTTCTCCCGCCCCCACTCCAGTCTGGAGGGTTCTACGTCTGGCCTGGAGTCCCCGAAATCTGGCTCATCCGCAGCCTCCGATGCTCTGTACTGCTCGCGGGTTGCACACCCTGGGTCTGCGAAAGACCCGCGGGAGGGCGGGATCCTACTCGCCACGCCCCCTGGTTACCCGCCCTCTTCCCATTGAGAAACTCGGGCGGCTTGCGTGCCAAGACTACGGGCTCTCCGGGTCGCGGTTCGCGCTGCAGGAGGGCACCCCTGCGTTATCACGGTGTCTGAGAGCTGTAACATCTGGGTCCAAGGAGGGGGCTCTGCTCGTGTTGGACACCTGCGCCCTGCTGAGGTTGAAGGGGAGGCGGGCATGAGGAGGAGGAGAGAAGAGAGTGGAAGAAACTTGCTCAGCCCGGACCCAGGAGGGACTGAGCTGAGTGGAAACGAAGCTATAAATGGGAACCCCTGAGACTTCACCAGTTTTCGAGCCCTGGGGAGGCGGGGCCCAGGCTCCCGTGGGCCTGCGGGTCGGGGAGAGGGCACCCAGGTGCTGAAGGACTACTTGGGAGTCATGAGAAAAGAGGGATTCAGCTCCCCACTTTCCCAAATACATCCCTGCTGCTGTGTTATCTCTGCAAGCCTTAACACACTCTAAGTTGTAGGAATCCAGCCCTTCCCTCCCTCTCCCCGCTCCGCCCCGAGCTTCTTCTTTCCCAGGACTCGGCAGTACCCACCAGTCCCTTCTCTCCGCCTAGCTGTCCCGGGCCCCTCCGAGTGGTTGCCGGGCGACGGCTAGGAGGCAGCAGTACCATGGCTCTGGCAGGCAGGGAGGCTGGGAACCGCACAGCTTGTCCTGACAGCTCCGGTGCAGCCCAGCTGGGGCGTTCCCACGCTGCGCAGCTGGCAGGGCAGGTGGGAGGGACTCTGAGCCTACTGAAGGAGCTGGGGAAGGGGATCTGGGACCCCGGGTCTCACATTCCTGGAGCTATCAGAATTAAACGACATTCAGGGCTCAGACTGGTGTGTCTAAATGTCAGAGGGTTGGATTTCCAGGGAGGGGGTGGTTCAGATCTCTGCAGGCTGAGAAGCTGGTGGCCCTTGCAGCCTGTAGTATGGTGCAGTTGGACCAGGTTCGGAATATCTGGTCTTAAGTCTTAGAGCTACTGGATTTAACAACCAATCTCACTCACCCCCACCGGCCCAGGAGGATTGGAAAACTAACAGCTGTGCTGAGTCGTAGAGGAGTGGAGTGTGGGAGGCAGTGGGCTGGAAAAGAAGGTCCTGGGAGGTTCCATGTCTAGCTCTGGAGCATCTGAACTCCCGGCTTCAGATTCTCTGTTTTGAAATAGGACAGGCTTGAGCCCAGGACTCCTGAGTCTTGGGGAGGAAGTCAGGTGATGAGGTGTTTTTCCAGACACCTGACAAAGCTTCCCTTCCTGGCACCCTGGGGCCACCAGCATGGAAAAATGGAGAGGCTGGAGTCCCCAGGGCTTTTGGAGAAGGAAAACAGCCAAGTTTGAGTGTAGGTTTGTACTAATTAAAGGTTCCAGCAACTGACAGCCCTACACCTTGGCCTTCGATGGTACCATCTGGTAAAGGCCCCCATGGCAGAGCCTCCATTTGTTAGGTCTACATGCAATCCGTTCCCCAGAAGGTGTAAAGGGGGTTAGAGAAGGGGATGTGGAAGGAGGGTAACGAATCAATAATAGGGTGGGTGGGAGAGAAAGACCAGAGAGCTCAGCCTTGGTAGAGAGCTGAGGGGGTCTCGGGCCAGATGCCTGGACTGCCCCCTGGAGGAGGAGCAGCAGCAGGGCGGGAGGTTTGTAGGGAGTGTAGGGGGTGGGAACAGTTGCAATTCCTGCAGGAGATAAGCAGGCAGAAGGGGCTTATCCTAGGCAAATGCAACTGTGCTCCCGGGTTTGGAAGGCAGGCCAGTCAACATATGGTTCAAAACTTCCAGGGTCAGAATCAGGTCTAGAGTCAGGGAACTGCGTGGGAAAGGCCCAGAGACAGGCTGACTGGGGAGCAGAATATACTGAGTTCCTGCTATGGAGTGACAGTGGGGGAGGACAGTAAGAGTGACAGAAATAAGAAGGGGAGGGGGGAGCGAGAATTAAAGAGATGGAGAAGAATGAGAAGATAAATCACCCTGACTGGAGAGAGACACACAAAGAAAGAAAGGAGAGATGGAGAAGTTGAGAACAGAAGGACTCTCACACCGTCTCAGGACTCAGATGTTCCAGCTCCCAGAGACCCCCACTCTGTGTCTAACTGTATCTGAGCCCATCAGGTTTCCACACACTGGGGTCTGTGCACCTGGTCCTACTGGCTGTCCGAGTACCAGACATTCCCAAACTGTTCACAGATGGAATCCACTCTCACTTCTCCTGGAATACCCACGCTCTCACACACACCCCCACACATAGTTGACTTCCCTCTCTCCCACAGTTTCACCGTTTCAAACACACTCCTGTGCGTTCACCAGTAGAAGTGTATGATGCCACCAAGGGAAAGAAGGAACTTGTCACAGTCCGGGACAGCTGTAGCAGTGGGGGTCTGGGCGGGGGTGTCCTTCCCACCCACACAGGCCCAGCTCTGCCTGCCAACCGAAGCTGGGAGATAGCCCTGGTCAGACCTGCTCTGCCAGGCAGGGCCTTGGGGTCACTGGGGCTGGGGAGGCACCAAAGAATATTCCTGGCATGTGCTGACAGGGGATTTCATTGCTCTGGGGTCAGACTCAGGAAGTACTTGAGGAGAAGCAGCAGGATGTGCTCACACTGGGTCCAAGAAATGGCTCCATGCTGTGACTGACTGCTTTGGATTTCTGGGTTTGTGAGCTTGGACCCCCACCCCGACCCCCAGAGGTAGCGAGCAACAGATCCTCTTTGAGTGCCTGTGAGTGGGTGAGGGGGAGATAGTCATAGATAAAGAGAAACAGAGACTGTTGGGGAGAAAAAGAGAAAGCATGCATTTTTGAGTGCTTGGGGTTGGAACTCAGAGAAAGAACCTTTGACAGAGCAAGCTAAGAGCAGAAACAAGACAGAAAGACTAGGACAGAGACAAAGATGG